CTAAAAAGCCCAAAGCAATTCTCACTCCAGCACACACCCTCTCCTCTCAGCACAGTAGGGCATTTGCCTGGCAAGGGGCGGACCCGAGTTGGAAACCTGGCATCCCCTCTGGATGGTACCCCAGCACTGCCGGGAGTGATCGCTAGGTCCAGAGCCAGGAGTCACCCCTGAGCCTCGCTGGGTGTGGCCCCCAAACTCAAAACAAGACCAACAGAAAGAAACACAGCTTGCTCTGCCGCCGTGAGTCCCCAGGAAGGAAGAGACATGGGTGGTGTGGTGGTGGGGACCCGTCCTGCTCGGGGCACAGTCCACGGCCAGCGAGCCACCAGGGGCCACCAGGAGCCCAAGGCACAAAGCGGTTGCAAGGAAAGCTCAGACGAGCCCTAATCCATTCTGCATGCCCCAGACCCTTTCCCCCTCGGCCCTGGGAGCTGATGCAGGGGAAGGGGGGAGGTTGGGGAGGTGGGAAGGGAGAAGACAGCCCTGCGGGAGGTAGGCGTGAGTGTGGACCACCAGGGCCTCCTCCCCCAAGTCTCAGCAGAACCAGGGAGCCAGCCCCCCTTCCAGGTAGGACTCCGGGAAGCGGGGGGAGGAGAAGGTACTCACTGCGCAGCGGGCCCTTCCTCAGAGGCGGCGGCAGATCTGGGTGTGCGCCGATCTGGGTGGCTGCAGAGGAGGAAGTGACAGTCTCGAGTGGGGGCGACTGAGGTGGGGGGTGACCGACAGAGGAAGATGGGCCAACAGCAGACCGGGAAGGAGGGGCAGAGGGCAGGTGTCTGGAAGGAAGCAAGAAAGCTCACCTGTGGCCCACCTGCCCTGAGCCTCATAGCACCGCCAGGTACTGGGGGTAGGACCCCACCTCCCGCCCCTCGATTTTTTTACAAAAATAGAGTCTGTTGGGACTGGAGCGATAGCACAGTTGGGTAGGGCGTTTGCCTTGCACGCGGCTGACCTGGGTTTGATTCCCAGCATCCCATATGGTCCCCCAAGCACCACCAGGAGTAATTCCTGAGTGCATGAACCAGGAGTAACTCCTGTGCATCGCCGGGTGTGACCCAAAAGGCAAAAAAAAAAAAAAAAATAGAGTCTGTAGCTTGGAGGTAAGCACTTTGCCTAAAGTGACAGTGTTCGTTAGTGGCTTGTCTGGGATTCACATCCAGGTCTGCGCCAGGAGTGATTCCCGAGCTCAGAGCCAGGAGTTATCCCTAAGCATCACTGAGCATGGCCCATAAAGCCCAAATAAAAAATGAATCTATTTTAAAAAAATAAAAATATAGGGGCTGGAGCGATAGCACAGCGGGGAGGGTGTTTGCCTTGCAGGCGTCCGACCCGAGTTCGATTCCCAGCGTCCCATAGGGTCCCCTGAGCACCGCCAGGGGTAATTCCTGAGTGCAGAGCCAGGAGGAACCCCTGTGCATCGCCGGGTGTGACCCAAAAAGCAAAAAAAAAAAAAAAAAACCAAAAAAACCACACACACACACAAAATTAAATAAATAAAAATATATAAATCCAGGTCTGTCTGGCTCCAAATACGGTCACCTCTCCACTTCCTCACCTAAGAACACAAGAAACTGAGACAGGGAGTGAAGACCCCTCACAGAGGGGCTGCCCGGGGGACCCCAGGTTGCTAGGGAACCCGGTGCCCGTTGTATCAGTTGTCGCAACACTGGAACCCAACGCTGGTTGTTGGTTTGCGTTGTTGTTGGTTCTTTTTGTTTGCGGCCACTCCAGACGATGCTCGGGGCTCACCCCGGCTCTGCGCTCGGGTATGGAATGCCGGGGAGTGAACCCAGGTGGGCCCTTAGCAAGGCAAGCGCCCTCCCCTCGGTACTACCGCTCTGGCCCTGGAGCTAAGCTACTTGAGTTTGAATCCCGGCTCTTCCGGGCGGGGAGCTAGCTGGCCCCAAGGGCAGTGGCACGTGCTGTCCCTGTGAGAGCACTGTGTTGGCTCCTGATACCTGACGTGAGCATGGTGTTCAAGCACTGCTGGGAGCAAGCCCCAAGCACAGAGCCAGGAATTGGCCCCAGACGCTGCCAGGGATGGCTCCAAAATAAGAGGGCTGGAGCGATAGCACAGCGGGGAGGGCGTTTGCCTTGCACGCCGCCGACCCGGGTTCGATTCCCAGCATCCCATAGGGTCCCCCGAGCACCACCAGGAGCAATTCCTGAGTGCAGAGCCAGGAGTGAGCCCTGAGCAGCGCCGGGTGTGACCCAAAAAGCCAAAAAATAAAAATAAAATAAAATAAAATAAAAATAAGAATGATGATGATGATGATGATGAAGAAGAATAGGGCTGTGGGTAGGGCATTTGCCTCGCACGTGGCTGACCCAGGTTCAATCCCCAGCACCCCGTATGGTCCCCGCAAGCCTGCCAGGAGTGATCCCTGAGCACAGAGCCACAAGAAAGCCCTGAGTATAGCCAGCTGTGGCCCCCAAATGAAATAAATAGGGCTGGGGCTAGAGCGATAGCACAGCGGGCAGGGTGTTTGCCTTGCACGCGGCCGACCCGGGTTCAATTCCCAACATCCCATAGGGTCCCCTGAGCACCGCCGGGGGTCATTCCTGAGTGTAGAGCCAGGAGTGACACCCCTGTGCATCGCCAAGTGTGATCCAAAAAGCAAGTAACTAAATAAATAAATAAATAGGGCTGACACTAGGTTGAGTTTCCTCACTCAGGGTGTGAGACCCGGTGGCTCCCATGCTTCTGTGAAGGAGGACGGAGGGGTCGCAGAGAGACAGTACAAAGGCTAATGCACTTGCAAGTGGCTGACCCCGTATGGTCCCCCGAGCACCACCAGAAGGGATTCCTGAGCACAGAGTTAGGAGTAAGGCCTGAGCTCCGCTGGGTATAGCCAGAAAACCAACCAAACAAACAAGCCCCCGAACCCCCACCCCCTCATCCTGGCTCGACTGCTCAGAGCTGGCCTGTTCACTTGTGTCTTCACCTGGCCCCGGGCTGTTCTGTCGAGCGGAACCCATGTCTGCCGTCTGAGCTAGAGACGGGCTCCCCCCGGTCTTAGGGGCCCCCCAAAAGTGGAGGGCAGAGAGGCTTTGAAAATTCCAGGTCCAGACTGCCCGGAGGTCGGAGCAGCACAGGGAACCGGCTCAGGAGGGTGAGATTTGGGGGCCAAGGAGCCCCGGTGGAACCAGGAAAGGGGTGAAGGCTGCGCAGGGAGAAGCAGGGATGAGGGTGGCATCAGTGCCCAGGCCCGGAGGAACCCTGGAGCGAGGAGGGGTGTGACTATCCCCCCCACCGAGAAGGGGGAGTCAGGCTGGATTTCCCTTCCTGGGCACGGGGCAGGGTCCAGCTCCTACAGGAACTGCAGAAACGTCAGATGGGATGCAGCGGTGGGAGGCTGTTGGAGAGAGGGCCCCCTCTAGGTGGGCTTCAGTGCGTTTTCCTCCTCGCTCCACACCCAGGGGTTTCCGTGGCCAGGAACCTCCTCGCCGGGGGCCTATCAGTTTCCTCTCGTCTCCTTTCACTTTCTTCTTCCGGTGCCCGGCTCTTGGCCGCCCTGTTCCCACAGCCGTTGGCACCACCACAGCCGTCCGTGTCCCCAGAGTCCCCTGCCCCCACTGCCACCTGTGCCCCATCAGCCAGAGTCTCCATCCGTCCCTCTGCACCCACCGGTCGCGCGGAGGAACCAGGCGCAAGGCAGGCAAAGGTCTGTCCCCAGAACAGGGGAGCCAGGGGGTGGCGGGGGCTGAGGGGAGCCCCTAGGAGGAGGGGTGGCTGGGTGGTGCCATGGAGAAGGCCAGAGAACAGGGCTGAGGCCAGGGGTGCAGGGGGCTGAGGCGGGTAGAGAAAGAATGCCCCGGGGAGGGCGTTGGCCTTGCCCAACACTCACCACGGTTCGATCCCCGGCATCCCATAGGGCTTCCTGAACTCAGCCAGGAGGGACTGATTCCTGAGCACAGTGCCAGGAGCAACCCCCTGAGCATTGCTGGGTGTGATGTAAAAACTAAATAAAAAAGCAAGGGAGGGGGCTGGAGCAATAGCACAGAGGGGAGGGCGTTTGCCTTGCACGCAGCCAACCCGGGTTCGATTCCCAGCATCCCATAGGGTCCCCTGAGCACTGCCAGGTGTGATTCGTGAGTGCAGAGCCAGGAGTAACCCCTGTGCATCGGCTGGGTGTGACCCAAAAAGCAAAAAAAAAAAAAAAAAAAAGCAAGGGGAAGGTGGGGGTGGGGGTGGGAGGGTGAGAGGGAACAAAAACCCAATCAACAGAAAAGCAATGGTGGGGGTGGGGGAGGGTGAGTGGAGCGGGCACAGGTGGGGGGCGGGAGTGTGAAGAGGGGTCACATAAAGCAGGCACTGCAACTTAATTTTGATTTTTTTTTTTTTTGCTTTTTCTTGGGTCACACCCGGCGTTGCTCAGGGGTTCCTCCTGGCTCATGCACTCAGGAATTACTCCTGGCGGCGCTCAGGGGACCCTATGGGATGCTGGGAATCGAACCCGGGTCGGCCACGTTGGCTGCGTGCAAGGCAAACGCCCTCCCAGCTGTGCTATCGCTCCAGCCCCAGACACTGCAACTTAGAGGGAACTCGCGACTCTCCTTTGGATCCAGAGGGAGCTCCGTAAACGTCCCCCCACCCCACCCCCCGCCCGGGAGAAGAGGGCTTTGCAGATTTATCTCCCCGTTGGGGGCTGGGAACTGTCTTCAGGACGGCGAAGGTCCAAGCCTGCTTCTCGGAGGCCCAACATGGGCACGGTGGGCGCCTGTCCCCCGCGTGTGCAGGATGTTCTTGGTTCCCCGAGCAAGCTATCAAACCCAAAGACAGGGCAGGGGAACAGCTGGGGGGGCTGCACATCTCCGCTTGGGCTGCACATCTCCGGCTCCCCAGCTCCACACAGGCCCCCAAGCATGGCTGGAGGGCAGCCTTGAGCACTGGCCGGTGAGTCCACCAACCCCAGCAGCCTGGGATCCTCCCGCCCTTCCTCGCCCTCCGGGCCCCCACCCTGCCCGGCACCTCCTCCGACAGGGAGCCACAGCCCGAGAGAGTTTCCATCACTTTATTTTGCAAAAATAGAAAACTCAGCGATACGCAATACAGCGGGGCGGAGGGGACATGTAAACAGAGGGGAGGGGGGCAGCACCCTGACCCCCCGGAGAAGAGGGGGAGCCAGTGGGAACCTCATTTGGCAGCTAAATACAAACTGGGCACGGGAGGGCAAAAGTGGGGGGCTCAGGGGCCCTGGGCTCCCCCTCCCAAGACCCCCGCAGGAAGGGGTCCTTCCAAGGTGTAAACAAAAGCTAATAAATAAATAGACAGACGCTTCCTCTGGGGCGGGGCGGGGTCAGCTAAGCAGCGCCCACTCCCCTCCCTGGGCCAAGCTGCTCCTGGGGGGTCAAGGGAAAGGCACTAGTGGGGGAGGGGTCCCCTGGCCCCTCTGTAGTGTTCGAGGCCCCCCCGCCCGATGGCTGAGATGGGAGGCGGGGCGCGCCCAAGGCACAGGACGGGGCTGGGGGCCGCTGAGAACGGAGGCCACCGGGGAAGCTCGGCCCAAGCAGAGAGGGGGTGCAGGGGAGGCCTGCGACGGTCCCTGCCTCCCTCCGCCCCGCTCCCCGCCGTCAAGGGCAGGTGCATCATGCAGCGTTCGGCCCCAGGGCGGGCTCAGCCCTGCCCCCGCAGCCGCGTTTGGTCTCTAGTGTTCCTCATGGCTCCTGGGGGCCGCAGTACCAGGCGGAGGAAGGGGCTCTGTGACGGCAGGCAGGGTCTCCCCCCTGCCCCGCGAGCCTGGCACCCTGGCACGGCTGAGGGGCGGCGCTGAGGTCTTCCAGTCCGAACCCAGGCTCACCCCTCGTCCCCCGCTCCTGCTGGGAGCGTGGCCGCCCCGACGACGTCGGGGAGGGAGTCGATGGGAGCAGGAAGGGGCCCCCACAGAGGCAGGCACCCCTGGAAACTTTGGCAAAAACAAGGAGCTCGTCGGAAGGCGGGAGGCGGACCGGGTCCTCCTCCTCCGTCGGGGCGGTCAGGGGCCCTGGTCGGGCTGTGGGCTGCTGCCCCCCGTGCCCCGCGCTCGCGGAGCCTCATCCTCGCTGGCGGTCTTGGCGTGGGCACCGGGCTGCGAGGAGTCGTCCTCAAACATTTCGGGGTTCTCCAGCATCTCTCGGATCAGAGGCGGCATGGGGCCGGGAATCTCCATCTTCAGCGTGATGGCCCGCTCGGCTCCTGCAACGCGGGGAGGGGACGCGGCTCAGCGAGGCGGTGGCGCCCGCCCGCCCGCCGCCACCCCAGCCTCTGTGTTGTCTTGGGTCACACTCAGTGGTGCTCAGGGCTTACTCCTGGCTCTGCGCTCGGGGTCACTCCTGGTGCCAGGGACTGGACCGCGGGCAACGGAAGCGCCCGCCCCGCTGGACGGTGGCCGTGGCCCCAGAGTAGCTCCCAGTCCCGAGATTCGAACTCTCCATCCCCAACTCGTCCTTCCCCTGTGCGGTGCGGGGCCAGTCCACTGCCCAACCTGCTGTGCCTCAAGCCCCCCTCTTTGGGTTTGTCTCTGGAAAGTGCCCAGCCCAGTTGCCCCCTCCCCTTCACGTTCTGACCTTCCAAGGGCAGATCTAAATAACATTCATAATAATAGCTATTAATAACTAATGGCTTCTCAACACTAAGGCATTCTTCTAAACCGGCACTGTGCGACAGAACTTTCTACAATGATGAACTGTCTGTTCTCATCAATCCAACAGGCTGCGGCCGAGTGCTGGACTGGACACTAGAAATGTGACTGCTGCAGGGGCTGGAGCCATAGCACAGCGGGTAGGGCGTTTGCCTTGCACGCGGCTGACCCGGGTTCGATTCCCAGCATCCCATAGGGTCCCCCGAGCACTGCCAGGAGTAACTCCCGAGCGCAGAGCCAGGAGTTACCCCTGTGCATCGCTGGGTGTGACCCAAAAAGCAAAAAAAAAAAAAAAAAAAGAAAAAAAGAAATGTGACTGCTGCAACAAGAACTGTACTGTTAGTTGGGACACACCCAAAAGTGCTCAGGGAACCGTGTGAGGTGCTGGGGATTGAACTGGGGTTGGCCGATACTCAGGGGTTACTCCTAGCTCTGTGCTCAGGAATTACTCCTGGGAGTGCTCTGGGGACCATATGGGATGCTGGGAAATCGAACCCAGGTTCAATCCCCAGCATCAGCCAGGCAAGAGCCTCACCTGTGTACAATCTCTCCATTCCTTCTTTTCTTTCTTTTCAATTTTTTTTTTTTTCTGTTTTGGTCACACCAGGCGATGCTCAGGGGTTACTCCTGGCTCATGCACTCAGGAATTGCTCCTGGCGGTGCTCAGGGGAACATATGGGGTGCTGGGAATCGAACCTGTGTCGGCCATGTTGGCTGCGTGCAAGGAAAATGCCTTACCCGCTGCGCTATCGCTCCAGCCCTTCTTTTCAATTTTTTAAAGAGTTTTTAGTTTTTGCTTTTTGGGCACACCCACCAGTGCTCAGGGCTTAGGGGCTTGGCAAACTATCTGGGGTGCCAGGGATCAAAACCTGGGTCAGCTGCGCAAAAGGTAAGTGCCCAACCCAGGGTTACTCCCGGCTCTGCACTCAGGAGTTATTCCTTGTAGTGCTCAGGAGACCTTATGAGATGCTGAGGACTGAACAGAGGTTGGTCACATGCAAGGCAAGCGCCTTAGCCACTTTGCCGGAGGGACCATAGGAGAGGCCAGGCCTCGAACCCGGGCAGGCTGAGTGCAGGGCAAGCACTTTGCCCTTACCTCATCACTCCGGCCCCTCGGCCCTTTCTCTTTTTCTCTTTTGTCTTTTTGGGTCACACCCGGCGATGCACAAGAGTGACTCCTGGTTCAAGCACTCAGGAATTACTCCTGGCGGTGCTCACGGGACCCTATGGGATGCTGGGAATCGAACCCGGGTCGGCCGCGTGCAAGGCAAACGCCCTCCCCGCTGTGCTATGGCTCCAGCCCCCCTTTCTCTTTTTAAAGCCTTTTTTCTTTCTTTCTTTTGTTTGGTTTAGTTTTGGTTTACCCACACTAGGAGGTGCTCAGAGCTTACTCCTGGGGTGTCCAGGAGACCCTGTAGGGGGCCGGGGATCACACTCAGGATGCCGCGGGCAAGGAAGCGGCCTTCACTGCCATGCTAGCTCTCCAATCCTGGACTTTACTTTGAAGTCTTTTTTTTTTCCCATTGGGGCGACACTTCCAGCAGTGCTCAGGCCGTACTCCAGGCTCTGTGCTCAGGGACCACTCTTGGCCGTCACTGAGGAGACCCTATGGAATGAAGGGACTGAACCGGTGTCAGCCACATGCAAGCTAAGTGTCTTACCCCCGTACTATCTCTCTGACCCAGAACTGATCTGATTTTGTCTTTTGGTTCTGGGTCATATCTGGTGATACTCAGGGCTTACTCCCAGCTCTGTGCTCAGGAATTACTCCTGGGGGTGCTCTGGGGACCATATGGGATGCCGGGAAATTGAACCCAGCTCAGCTGCGTGCAAGGCAAACACCCTACCCACTCTAGGACCTCTCTAGCCCCCCAGAACTGAAATTTCAAATCAGCACGGTTCTAAGTCCGTTATGTGTTAACTCCCTTTGCGTATCACCTTACGAGGTACGTTAGGGACAGTCCGGTTTTCAAAGGGAAAAACAAGTGACCAAATGTAAAGGAATTTGCCCCAAACCTCTCCTGGCACGTGGCAGAGCCAGAATCCCACTCCGATTCTCAGCCGCACCCAGCTCTGCTCCCATCCCCTGATCCGCAGCTACGGGAAGAGATGGGGCGGGCTCTGGCGACTGACCCTTGGTGCTGATGCCCCGGAGGTCGGTGATCTTCATGAGCATCCTTGGGAACATGTAGGGCTGGTTGGGCCGCCGGCGCCGGGCGTATAACCTCAGGGCTTCCAGCAGCGGCTCCTGTAGCTTGTCCACTTTTTCAGGTTCCTCCAGGTCCATCCGGTCTACGGGGCCAAGCAAGGTGGGGTGAGAGAGGAAAAGATGGTGAGATGGAGGATAGGGACCGGGGGCTGGAGACGCAGGACAAGGGGTAGGGTGCTCGCCTTATATGCAGTTCAACCCGGGTTTGGTCTTTAGCATCCCATGTGGTGCCTGAACCCTGCCAGGAGTAAGCCCTGAGCACTGCCTGGCGAAGCCCCAAGACAACAAGAAAAAAGATAAAGACAGGGGCTGGAGCGATCGCACAGCGGGTAGGGTGTGTGCCTCGCACGCGGCCGACTTGGGTTCGATTCCCAGCATCCCATAGGGCCAGGGGGTAATTTCTGAGTGCAGAGCCAGGAGTGCATCGCCGGGTGTGACCCAAAAAGCAAAACAGGGGCTGGAGAGCTAGCACAGCGGGTAGGGCGTTTGCCTTGCACGCGGCCAACCAGGGTTCGATTCCCAGCATCCCATAGGGTCCCCTGAGCACTGCAGAGCCAGGAGTGACCCCTGTGCATCGCCAGGTGTGACCCAAAAAGCAAAAAAAAAAAAAAAAAAAAAAAAAAACAACTGAAAAGCAAAACAATGAATAAATAAATAAGGACAGGGTGGAGAGGCAGCTCAAAGGACTGAGCATTTGAGCATTTTTTTTTAAATTTTTGGGTCACACCTGGCGATGCACAGGGGTTCCTCCTGGCTCTGCACTCAGGAGTTACTCCTGGCGGTGCTCAGGGGACCATATGGGATGCTGGGAATCGAACCCGGGTCGGCCGCATGCAAGGCCAACGCCCTACCCGCTGTGCTATCGCTCCAGCCCCCATTTGAGCATTTTATTCCCAGCACTACAAAGGCCCCAGCAAGGACTCTCAGGACTGACCTCTGCGCATGGAGCCAGCAATCAGCCCCAAGCACCCTGGGTATGGTGCCAAGATGGGGACAGAGACAGGTGGCTGACCCACAACTGGCCCTGCCCGCTGGATGGGCCTTCAGGGCCTCAACTCCGCCCCGTCAGCCCCTTGCCTAGTGTCCCTGGGCCCTGCCCAGGTCTGTCCCCTTTAGCGAGTGTTCTTTCATTTGGGGAGTTGGGGAGGACAGGAAGATGGTTCAGAGAGTCAGGACATATGTTCCACATGTGCGTGACCTGGGTTCCAGGGTTCCGTTCCCAGGACCACAGTTTTCCAAGCAGCACTGGGAGTGACCCCAAGCAGGACTCTGTGGGGCCAAAAATCAAACAAAGAAGCAAAAGGCCTTTTCCCGGAAAATCTGCTCTGATTTAAAAATTTTTTTTTCTTTTTGGGTCCACCCGGCAATGCACAGGGGTTCCTCCTGGCTCTGCACTCAGGAATTACTCCCGGCGGTGCTCGGGGGACCCTACGGGATGCTGGGAATTGAACCTGGGTCAGCCGTGTGCAAGGCAAACACCCTCCCCGCCGTGCTATTGCTCCAGCCCCAAATCTGCCCTGATGATGTCTCAGTGCCCCGGGCTTCTTCATCTCCCCTGGCTCTGCCCCTCTTCCCGGCCTGGGCTGCGTCTGGCTGTCAGGAAGTCGGGGCTGGCCTGAGCAGCAGGGTCCTAGCCGGGAGAGGGAGCAGAGCAGGGGCCCGAGCAGACACCAGGGGGCGCACCCACACCTCCGCAGATGAGGCAGATGGCACTCAGCAGCCCCGTCTCGGTGTCATCCATCTCCAGCGGCAGGAGCTGCCCGGCAAAGGCAAAGACGAGGTCTGTGAGGGGCCCGAAGCCAGCGTTGTGCATTTGCGTCCGGTTCAGGGTCAGCCCGTCCGAGAAGGTCATGGTGTCCTGCTCAGGGGTGTATCTTGTGCAGATCCGCAGCATCTGGAGGTGGGGGGGGGGGGACACGACACACATGACTTGGTGCATTGACACATGACTTGGTGCATTCGGGCGGGGAGGAGGGGGCACGCAGAGGGAGCAGGGAGGAAGGCAGGAAGGCCTGAAGGGAGGAGGTGCGAGTGAGGTGAGGGTGGGAAGGGCCCTCACCTCGACTGGGCAAGCGAAGGGAGGAGGTGGGAGAGAGCTCCGCGAGGGGTGGGCCCCCCCCGGGTGCCGAGAGCCCCCCTCACCAGGATGTCCAGGCAGGCCGCCTTGAGCAGGGTGATCTGGTCGGCAATGCTGAGCCCCGTGAAGCCGGGCAGTCGCTTGGCGAACTCCACGATCTTGATGATGCACTTGGTGGCCAGCTCGCTGAACTTGTCCCATAGGCCCAGGTCCAGCTGCACCCGGTGGTCCGCGCTGGAGTTCTGCAGGGACGGTCGGTGGCAACGCCACTGAGGCCTGCCCTCGGCGGCTCCCTCCTGCCGAACCCGTGCTCCCTTCCCCCTCTGCATTCTTTTTTTTTTTTTTTTGCTTTTTGGGTCACACTCGGCGATGCACAGGAGTTCCTCCTGGCTCATGCACTCAGGAATCACTCCTGGCGGTGCTCGGGGGACCGTATGGGACGCTGGGGATCGAACCTAGGTCGGCAGCCTGCAAGGCAAACGCCCTACCCACTGTGCTATTTCTCCAGCTCCCCCGCTCTGCATTCTGATGCCGTCCCCTCCCCTGTCCCTCTGCAGCTCCTCCGAGTGCCCCCCAAGGGCCCCCCGTGCCCATCAGCCCTCCTCACCGTGGTGTACTTGCCCAGCTGGCAGAGCGAGGGGAAGGTCTCCTGGTGGGCCTTGCTGACCTTGGTGATGAGCTCTTCCAGCTGGGGACTCAGCTCATAGCTGTCGAGGGCCACCTCCTCCTTCACCTCTTTCTTCTTCTTGTTCCGATCATTCCGCACAGCTGGGGGTGGGGGGAGGGTGCCGAGGGGAAGGTCAGGACCCTCAGAAACTCCCTCTGGAGTGTCCCTCTCAGCCTGATTTCACGGCCGGTCCTGATAACAAAGCGCTGCGCGCTGGGTCCGCCGCCGTGCCTTGGTTTCCCCTGCTGGCCAGCCCAGGCCGGCCGGCCCAAGCTGGCTCTCCCCAGCCCCGGCCATTCCCTGCCCTTCCTGTCACCCTGCGGCCTGGGGAGGGGGCAGGATGTGCAGGCAGGATATCTACTTATAGCCTTGGCAGCTCAATGGCCTAGGGGAGGGGGCACCCCAGTCCACCTCAGGCTGGACCTGGGAGCCAGCCGAGGAGGGGACTGGCGAGGCCCCCCTACTTCCCCGCGAAATGGGGGGACGCAGAAGGGAACCCCGTTCAGACGCGCAGAGGCAGGGTTAGGCTGCGAGCGGAGCCAGGCGGGGTGTGGCCTCCACTGTGGCCTCCACTCCCAAGTCAGTGAATGCAGCTAATCAGAAACCAGACTGGGGGGGGGGGCGGCACCCCAGGGCCGGCTGGGTCTCAGAGGGCAGGGAAGCGGGAGGGTGGCCAGTGGGAAAGGGCAGCTCCTGCAGGCCAGCGCCGGGGCCTACCTTCCTTGGACATGCCCACTTCGAAGCACTTCTGCAAGCGGCAGTACTGACAGCGGTTGCGGGTGACCTTGTTGATGATGCAGTTCTTGTCCCGGTGACAAGTGTACACCATGTTCTTCTGGATGCTGCGGCGGAAGAAGCCCTGGAGTTGGGGCAGGGGGAGTGTCAGTGAGGCACCACCAGCAGCCCCAGGCCCGACCCCGACCCCGCCTAGGAAGGGAGGCCCCTGGCTGGGTGAGGAAGCACCTCGCGCTGATTTGCAGGGAAGCGCCCTCACACGCCGCGGCGAAGTCTCTGCCGACCCCACCCCCAGGCACGCACCTTGCAGCCTTCACAAGAGCTGACCCCGTAGTGGTACCCCGAGGACTTGTCATTGCACACAAAGCACGGCTTGTAGACCCGAGGAGGCGGCGGCGGCGAGGGTGAGCTGGGCACCATCTCCTCTGAGCTGGTGCTCTGCGTCTCCACCGCTGGGGGGGCAAGCAGAGAGAGGGGTGTCAGCAGAGGGCCCCCCCGACCTCCAGGGACAGACAGACAGACACACACACACACACACACACACACACACACATGCGCGCACGCACACATGTGTGCAGTTCCCATTTCTCTCCTGGGCTCAGCGAGGACCCTGCCATCATGACCACAGTGAGTCCGCTTTGCAATGCACAGGCCCACAGCAGACAAGACAACTCCAGAAATCTCCCACCAGCCGCTACGAGGCTGTCCAGAATCTGGTGTTCCCCCCACCCCGGCCCCCCACCCCCAAGAACGCCAGTCTGAGCTCCTGAATGACACTGCTTGATTCTCTACATCAAGGCAAAGACCTTTTTTTTTTTGCTTTTTGGGTCACACCGGCAATGCACAGGGGTTCCTCCTGGCTCTGCACTCAGAAATGACTCCTGGCGGTGCTCAGGGGACCATATGGGATGCTGGGAATCGAACCCGGGTCGACCGCGTGCAAGACAAACAACCTACCCCGCTGTGCTATTGCTCCAGCCTCACGACCTTTTTTTTTTTAAGGTAATTTTTTATTCAAAGACTTTTTTTTTTTTAATTTTTAGTTCACACCACATGGTGGTGAGCTGGGGCTGGGGCTACTCTCCTAATCCGTGCTCAGGGGACCGGGTGGTGCCCACTACAGCAGAGGTCTTAGCCCTTTGAGCCTCCAAGGCCATCCCTGAAGTTCAAACTTGTCTTGACTGAAACCCAAGCACAAAGATTTGTAAGTCTCCAACTGTACCTCATGGTGTGTCACTAATAAAAATTTAAGGAAAAACAACAACAACAAAACTTGTCTTGCCCTCAGTTTCCCCAGGCCAGCAGTAAAAGAAGGTTGAGGAAGAGATTAAGGCTCTGAACCCTCTAATCACTTCCTGTCCTGTCAGTCAAACCCTGGCAGGTAGTCTGCCTCCCTTACCCCCCTCAGAGGGCACTACGCTGAGCTGGGGGTCAGCAATTAAAGGGCGCCTGGATAAACACCATGCTGGGGGCCTCCCCTGGAAGGGGGTCTCGGCCTCTCTCCTCTCCCATGTCCATAAACCTCCCCCTTTCCCGGCATCCCTCCGCCGACGCCCATTTCCCCAGAAACCATCGGCACAAACACACAGGTACCACGAAAGTAGGTTAGCAGATACAGGCGTCATATTTTACACCTGAAAAAACAGAGGTGCAGAGAGGGAGGTGGCCAGCTCAGTGTCACAACGCCCAAGGCCCGAACCTTCCCACTACATCTCAGTGACCCAACCAAGGAGAAATCTAAAAAGATGGGAAGGAGGGGCTGGAGGGCGTTTGCCTTGCATGCGGCCGACCCCTGGGTTCAATTCCCAGCATCCCATGTGGTCCCCTGAGCACCGCCAGGAGTAACTCCTGAGTGCAGAGCCAGGAGGAACCCCTGAGCACCGCCGGGTATGACCCAAAAAGCAAAAAAAAAAAAAAGATGGGAAGGAGAGACAGGTATTTGCTAGTCCCTGCTGCTCAGGCCTAGGATCTGTCAGGGGCATCGCAAACCAGAGGTCAGGTGACTGGGTAAACAGGGCGGGAGGAAGGAACCTTCTCTGGGTCTATGCCTTTTTTTTTTTTTCTGTTTTGGAGTCACCCCAAAACAGTGCTCTATGTTCAGGGATCACCCCTGGCCATGTACAGGGACCAAACCCAGGCTGGCAAGTCAAGGGCCCTACTCAGCGTACTCTCTCTCCGGGCCTGGGCCTTATGCCTGGAACCCCAGAATTTCTCCCAGAAAATGCCCAACAGAGGCTCCAAAGGGGCTCTCAGCCCACAGGGCGTGCGTGTGGGGAGCTGTCTGGCTCCTGAGGCAGCCGAGGGTACCGTGTTTGGATGTGAGGTTGATCTTCAAAGACTAAGGAAACCATATAAATTATTCAACCCGTAGGACCTGTTGCCAAACCCTGGAGGGCCCGAGTTAAGGCTTGGAAACGCCGAGACCCTCCCCGCTGGGGAGGGCCCCACTCACCCACCTCCTAACCTACTGCGGCCCACCAGGCAGAAGTCACCCCATGCAGCCCAAAGAAGGCTGAGGAATGCACCCCCTACCCGCAGCCGGTCCGGAGAGCTCCACCCCCCCAGGAAGGTACCCCTCCCCACCCCCCAACACGCTGAGATACTCATTAGCATAAGAATCCAGCCGTCGAGCTTTCCCGGGATGAGGGGTGGGGGGGCTGGAGGAAAAAAGGGTGCTGAGAAGCTATTCAAGAAGGGGGGTGCCGAGAGGCGGGCGGCCAGGAATGTCTTTCAGGACCCCTCCCTCCCTGCCCTCCCTGCCGAGCTGCAGGGGCTGCCCAGTGGCCAGCGTGCGGGGTGGTTGTTCACTCAGGCACTGACGCCCTCCCTGCCCGCAGAGCGCTGCCTCATTTCCTCTCTTGCGAAAGGGCCTGGGTGTGGTCACACTGGCATGGGGCAGTGCCAGTCAATTAGAAGTCTGGGGGCCTCCGGGAGACAGGCCCGGGGGCAGCTTTTCCCAGCTAAGTGCAACTGTCGCCCCTTCTCCGCACCCCTCCGGGACACCCCAGTCCCCTGGAACTGTCAAGGGCAGCTCTGGTCAACCTGGGGCGAAGGGCCCGGAGGCTGGTTGGGGCCACTCCCCTCGGGTTCCCTTCCCAGCCCAGGGCTGAGACCCCCACCCCCACCCCACGGACCCGCCGGCAGGGCCAGGCGGAGGGGCCCCCGCTGTGGAGGAGGGGGGTTGGCTCTCTTGAGTTTTTTCTCCTTTTAAAGCCCAAATTGCTGAAATTGAGGAAATTCCTGGCCAGGCTGAGCGGAGCTTCAAACAGACTCTTTATAACCGGCTGTAAACGCTGCCAGCTGCGAGGCCCGGGCTGAGAAGCCGGGACTCACAATCTGACACACAGCTCCTTCGGGCAGGCGGGCGGGCGGGCAGGCAGACAGGCAGACAGACAGACAGACGCTCACCGCCAGCACCCGCCCGACTCCGGGCCCAAAAGGCAGACCAGCAAGGGGCTCCTGCACTCGGCTGGCCGGGCACAGAACCCACGCAGGGAGGCAGAAAGCAGGCCCACAGCTCCGTGGGGGCGGACAGTCAATCACAAGCCCACGCAACACCCAAGGCACCTTCGCAGCTGCCAGGGAGCAATTCTGCTACCTAACACCCAGGCCTGCCAACCGGGCCGGGTCAGCGCCGGGCCCGTCCCTCCCTCCCTCAGGACCCCTCCCTGGCTGAGAACCGCAGAGCCACTATTTTGCTTCGGCAAAAGTGTGCGGGGAGGCTTGAGGCGGGCTTTGTGTGCACACCAAGACTTTCCAGGCCAGCACGACTAGTCCAAACGTGGATGGGGAAAAATAAATAAATAAATGAAACCAAAAAGCAGAGGGTCCATCGAGGGTCTGGAAGCGGACGAGGTTCCCGGCTGTCAAAAGGGCTCCTGGCTGTCTAGCCCCCCTGCACCCCGGCCAGCACACCCCAGGTCCCCTCGGCCGGGCCATGTGAGAGGAAGGCTCGCTCAAACTTCCCAGGGACTTGCGGCAATGCAACAGTTGCACGCTTTAAACAGTGCCATTTAAATGTCTGACTTTTCATTCTTGCCCCACCCCAAAGTACGGTCTCCGGTTTGCAGCCACCCTCCAGCGGCTCTGCCCTGGAACCAAAAAAAAAAAAAGGAAAAAAAAAAGCCCAACTCGTAAACAGCGCCGCGGAGTGCCAAGGAGCGAGGCGCGTTGGCGGGGCTCGGTGACCCCGCGCGCACACTCCCCCGGCGCCGCCCCGCCCGGCCGGCCCTGCCCCGCGCGCCCCCGGCCCCTCGGCGGGGTCCCAGTCCCGGGAATCCGGGCGGGGTGGGGGGTGCCAGGCGCCCCTCCCGGCTCCTCCCGGCACCCCACCCCCGCCAGGCACTGGGGCCCAGGCTTCAAAGCCGCCTCTCATCTGGACTTCATTTTTACTGCTTCTCAGTCCCCAGCTTTTTATTACCGTTCTGGAAAGGGGTTCCAGGGCCCCCGGGCCTGGCATCTCCCATTTCACAGGGAGGGGAAGCGGGGTGTTTGGGAGACCAGTAGTCGGGCTCCCCCCGGCCGCGGCCACCGCGCCGGGCCACCCCGCCACTGGCCGCGACCCGCTCGGCTTCTGGACCGGGGCCGGCCGGCGGCGTCGCACCCGAGGGGGCAAGTCCCATCCCCGGCGCCGCCGCCGTCCTGCGCCTCTCGCCGACGGCGCCTCCCGGAGCGGGGCGGGGGGCGCCGGGGCCCACGCGTGTCCCGGGCGCCTGCACCCCGCCGTCCCCCGGCACGGGAACACACAGGATGCCCGCCGGGCTCGGCGCCTCCCCGCGCTGCGACAGCGCCCACCCGCGCCGGGGCGCATCCCGGGACCCGCGCCCGGCACGGGCTGCTTCCCACACCCCCCGCTGCCCGCCGCGCACCGGCCCACGGCCCCGGGAAGGCGCACCCGCGGGAGCGCCGAAGCGGCATCACCCACGGGTCTCCCCAGCCCCCCGCCACGCCGGCCCCACGCGCCCGCGCGCTCGCCCTCGCGCCCACCCTCACCTGCCTTCGAAGGGGCCGGCGCCGCCCCCGCCCCGGCCCACCCCGCGGCGCGGGCACCTACACTGCAGGCTGGCGGGCTGCGGCCAGGCGAAGGGCTCCAGTCCGGCGAAGCAGGGGCTGCCCGCGGGTCTGCGCAGCAAGCCCACCCCGGGCCCGGCCGCTCCGTACAGCCGCTGCGGGCCCGGGGCGAACGCGTCCACGCAGTCGAACATCGCGACCCGGCCCGGGTGCGCGGGGCGCCAGGACCCGCCGCCGAGTCCCCCTCCTCCCCCGGCGGCGCCCCGCTCCTGGAGGGGGAGGGGGAGGGCTAGCGCCGGGCGCCGGGCCGCATGGGGGGCGAGGGGTGGGCGGGGAAGAGGGGGATCCCCGGCGGGGGCCGGGCGCGGGGCGGGGCGCAGGGCCGGGGCTGCCGCCGCGCGCCGTCCGGCCGGCTCTGGGCGCCCCGGCGGCTCGCTCCGGG